CCACTGTGCCCTGAGCCACGTGGAATAAAAGGCAACAATTAATATTTAAGGGGAAAATACATTAAAGATTTTTAAAATACAAGGGCAAATTCCCGCCCTTAGTGTCTTTCACACTGTGCTGGGGGGGTGGGGGGAGAGAATGGGGGAAAACATCCTCCATACTTTCAAGGCCTTCTTACAATAGGATACTTTCAAAGGCAAGGCTATGTTCCCATTCTGCAAGGAGCCCAAAGCATTCACCCTCTTTATTTACCAACCTCTCTGCCACCTATCAACAAATGCTTCCCTTGCTTCAAAAAACACATTTCATTACAACACATTTTTTATCTTCAGTGTAGCATCATTTGTCAGTGCCTCGGAGAGCAAATTTTTAGAACAAGGGGGGCATATAGGGAGGGTAAAGACCCCACCTTCTGCACCAGGCTCCAAGTGAGGGACCACTGCTATGGTCAATTCAAACCATGTTATAGTTATACTATATTACTATAGTAAACCTATTATTTATATATATATATATATATATATATATGTATATATATATATAGTAAATATATAGATAGGTATATATTGCTATAATAAACCTTGTTTACGAAACATGCATGCCAAAGGCACAAATAGCTTTGCTTAACACAAGGTGACTGACTGGCACTGTTAACACAGCTATCATTATTCGAAAGCAGTTAAAAGGAACCAGAGCAAATGTTCTTACAACATGCTGCTTTTTTTTAAAAAAAAAAAAATCAGTCTTGGATGTATCTAAGCATAGCTCTTCAACATGCCATTTAAACCTTATTGACAATCTTGCCCATGTCTGAAATCTGAAATGGGTCCCCTGAACTTATGGTCCCAGCTAGCTCCATCTCGCCAGATCTCAGACTCCAGCCCCAGTTGGTACTTGCATGGGAGCCCACCAAGGAAGCCCAGGGTTGCTACACAGAGGCAAACAATGGCAAACCACCTCTGTTAGTGTCTCTTGCTTGAAAACCCTACAAGGTTGCCATAAGTTGGGTGCAACTCGACAGCACTTTAAACACACACACCGAACTTAACTAATCAAACATACTGCATGTTGACATATTTCTGCAAAAGCATGGCAGGTGCTCTCCTTGGTTCTAAGGGGGGGGGGGACTGCAGAACTGCCACCACACATCACCAACTTACTCCTAAACCAAAAGGGAATCAAGGTGAAGTCACAGAGAAGGAATAGTCTATCAGTCCCATGGAGCACAGGTTCCTCTGCCCATTCCTAACCATGTCAGGACTTGAAATTCTGGGCTTCCAGCTAAGCCAAGGCCTCTCTCCAGACCGGATGATTGTCATCTGGGGACCCACCACAAAGTTCTGGCCAAAGGATGGAACTGCAGGGAAACAATTAAAGAGGCCTCCTGAAAGCAATATGCCAGAGCAGGTCAGGTTTGCTCCCTGGTCTAAGAAATGGAGACTTCGGTGCTTCTGGTGATGTACCCCATTCCCCATTGAGCAGTCAAATTATCATCTTAGCAGTAATGGGGTGAGTGACATCCTATTGGATGATGTCGTCTTTTCTCTTTTTGAGTCTTAGCTCCACCCCTCACTGTGGCCTGGTAGAGGTTCACCTAGACTCCCAGACCAGTTAGTCAGTCTATGTCAAGCACTTAATTTCTAAAGTAAGACTGGCCCACGGCAGCTCAATAAATTCCAGAAGCATGTGGAATAGTTCTGAGTACGGGCATTACAGGATGAAAGAGATAATACTCTGCAGGTACTCTCTCTATTTTATTATCATTCCAAGGCTCAACTGTAGCATTTCAGCACAGGGAGCTGTCCAATGTATCAACCGCCTCATACACTCGTTCTTAACTCTTGGCAACCAAGACATGGCGCTGCTTTTCTGCAACAGACATACTCTTAAAAAAAAAAAATTAAGAAAAATCCTGCCCTTAATGCTGTTCTCTATCAATTATTCAACAACTCCATGCTGATAATGAGATCTAAGAACAACCTTCAGGTTTTTGTGAGCTTCACCTTTGATCTAGGGGTTGTCATTATCTTTGTGCCATAAGTCATGCAAGGCAGTTTCCTCCCCCCCCCCGTACAGTTCGGCTAAGACTGTACCACACACTCATTGCTGTAAAGTGCCTGTGAGAATGGGGAGCAAAGCCAGCCCGAGGCACATGCGACACCTGAAACAGAAAATCCAAATGACTTTTCTCCTTCCCTCCCACTCCCACAACCAGAAATTAATAAAGACGCTAGCTCCTGTGCCAGCCCCACTGAAATGAATGGAACTTCCCCAAGAGAACTGCCCCACAGATTGTCTCTCAGTAGGGTTGCCACTTGCCAGTCTCCAGGTGGGGCCTGGAGATCTCCTAGGATGACAACTGTTCTCTAGAGTACAGCGATCAGTTCTCCCGGGAAAAATGGCAGCTTCAGTGGATGAGGTCTGTGGCTTTATACCCTGCTACCTCCCTAGACCTTCCTCTCCTCAGGCTCTACCCCCGAAAATCTCCCAACCCAGATTTTGCAATTCTTCTGGTTACACCTGTTACAGCCCAATCGTATGCATGTCTACTCAGAGATCAACCCAGCTCTGTTCATGAGAGCTTACTCCCAAGTAATCCGATGTCTCTTATTCCAATATCCTTAATGACACCCGACATCCAATGTCAGATGGGGAAAGTGAAGAAAGGCAGATGGAGCGATGGCAAACAAAGCCAGGTACGTAGGATGATGACAGGCTTATAATGAACAGCCACCCAGAGGGCTGCCTCGGGAGATCTGTAGCTCTAAGGGACCAGGGAGGCGAAGTTTCATAAGCTGGAAAAGAGTTCACTCTGTCTTTTTTAAAGTCACCGGTATGCCACATATAAGTCACACAGGTACACGAGGGCTAGTAATAAATTACTTCGGGGTGGTCTGGTGGGCAAGGATGTAGTGTAATCTAACGCATTCCGAATAGCGCTTCTCAAAAGGCATTTTACGAAACAGTCTTTGATTAGTTATGCTCCACCGTAACTATGATGCATTGTTATCGTTGACCTTCCCATTTCACAGACGGGGAAAGTGAAGAAAGGAGATGACTGTTGCGTATACATTGTACCAGGGGTCATTTCGTAGAAAAAGAGCTAGGGGAACTCATTAGCATAACTCATTAGCATATGCCACACCCCCTGACATCAGGGGCCCGGCGGTGGACCTGCAAGGCCAGTGGGAGTGTGAGGAAGCCCCGCCAAGGCCCTCCCTGGCCCCAGGCAGGCAGGGGTGGGGAGAGGCGGGGGGGAAGCAACTTACCCTCCCTCTTCTCCTGCCTCCTCCTGGCTGAATGAGGGCTGGAAGTGGGGCGGCCGGAAGCAGGGGGTGGGGCTTCATCATGTGCCCCGCCCCCCTGAACCTCACACGGGGGAACTGCGTTCCCCCGCGTTCCCCCCCGAAATGACCTCTGCATTGTACACATATTGATCCTGAGTCTATAATTGTTCTGTCACTCTCAATATGATTAACGTGGAAGAAACATGAGGAGTTTTCCTACAGACGTTGCATCAGAACATACTTTGGTCCATGCTGAAATAAATGATGACACTGACTTCCCATTTATATCCCACCTTTCTTTCACTGAACTTGAGGCAGTGTACATTGAGTTGCCAGGTGGTCTCCTATACAGGCACTAACTTACTAGCTCTTACTAGCTTCAGCAAGAAAAATTCAGGTGGGCGGCCATGTTGGTCTGAAGCAGCAGAACAAAGTTTGAGTCCAGCGGCACCTTCGAGACCCACAAAGTTTTATTCAAAGTGTGAGCTTTCGTGTGCAAAGCACACTTCTTCAGACAAAACGGAATAAAATCTCCTCAAGGGTTACTTACAAGAAAAAAGGAGGGTGGGGGGGCTGCTGTTAAGAGAGGCCACTCAGAGCTAAGATGTATGTGCAGAGCTGAAACTGGATCAGGTGGCCGGGAAGGTCAATGGATGGCAGCAAATTAGCAAGTAAATGCAAGGGTTAACAAAAAGATGTGAGGATTAAGCTAGAGTCCAGCAGTACCCCCAAGCCAAACCCTGTGTACATGGGAGAACAGAGACTTGGCATGCGCACACTTCTTCACACACATTGCAATAGATTTCCTCATATATTGCACGCAGGTGGGGGGATTAGTTGCCAGGAAGAGGTGATTAGAGTCAAGATGCGTAAGTAACAGCTTCAGCAAGGTTACTGTATCCTGTGTCTTCAAGCCATACCCCGGGACTAAACAACCCGATTGAGCCTGATTCATACAACTATATTCTACATCCAGAAGTTAATCTGAACTCATGTTGCAGTGAATTGCCAATGTTGGTTTGGATCGGCATGATGGTTTTACAAATAAGTTAAGGTACTTAGTTCACGACCTAGCACATACCAGTCCCGTGTACTTTGTAAGGATTTTTGGGGATGCAGCAAGTTCTGATCCGTACCCGCTCAGAAGTATTTACAAGATTGGCTAAACACATGAAAATCTGCTGGGAAAGTCAATTTGCATTGACTTCAACACATATGTGTGTGTGGTGGGGGGTGGAGAACGACAAGAATGGGCTGTGTGGATTAACTAAGCATGTACAAAACACTAATGATTGTGTTAATGGGATAAAACCCAAAACAAACCATGACTATGAAAACAGAGCAGATGGAAACGTATCTACCTTATTTTGCCTTCAGTTATCACTCAATGCCTTTCCCAAATTCAAACAGTTTGCTTGTTATCAGCTAGATTTGTGCAGTACCCTTGACTACTCTCTTCAAGGTCACTCAGGATGGGAGGCAGGAAGGGAACACAAGACATTCAGACGTGGCCATGAGAGAGAGAGCATAAAAACCTCAAAATGAACATTTCAACTTCTATTTGCCTCACCACACTATTTTATTAGTCTCATTCTGAGTGTCTCTTTCACAGATTTGTCTCATCTTGACAGCGTTCGGTCCTCTACAGAGCTGCTTGCTCCAGACCTGCTCCCCCCACCCCCCAAAAAAGAAAAGAAACAATGTCTACTTACATGAGTGCAAAATCTCTCTGGGGGGTTCCCACAGGTGATCTCTGAGGGATCCACTTTCACTGTCATGTAGTCCTTCATCTGCATCGCCTTAGGTTGGCAGGCGTAGAACTCCCACATGGGCCCATCATCTGTGGTCACCCAGGATTTGCAGATGTCATACTGTCCCATGACCAGCGGGAGGCAGTGCAATAGGAAAGCAGCGTGGTGCAGCATGGTAGCGGGGACCAAGCACCAAATTCCTGGGCAAGGGGGAGGCCAAGAGTCTTGAGCAAGGCAGACACCAGCTGAGGGGAGGCTGTCTGGATCAGCATGGAATCTCCACGTCTAATAGAAAGCAATGGAAGCTAGTGAAGTCCAGGGAGCACCAATCATGTCCCAACTTTGTATCTGTATTTAGGCAATCGGGAAGTCTCTGCTATGGAAGCCAAGGTTACCGGCGATTCAGTTCGGAGAATGTGGGTCACACTTCCCACGTTTGCTGATCAGCAGTCAAAAGCCTTCCTTAACTTCATTTTCCTTTTCCTTCCTTTCCTTTGGAGAAAGGATCTTCCGAATCAGTGTGAAAATATCTAGAGGTGACTCTCCTCAGCCAAATCAATAGAGCTATCAGGTTTTGATGCCGAAATGAAATCTGACCGGTGCAGGAGGTGGAGGTGGAACCGGAGATGCTCTACAGTTGGGACTAGATCAAGTTTTCTTCAACCTTTTTCTTCGGCTGCAAAGTGAATCTTTCTAAAGTGCTTGCTGCTGCAGTATGCTTTAGGTGTGTGTTGTTTTTTTTTAAAGAAAAAAACTTTATGTAAAAAAATAGTGTAGAAGCATGATGTGGCGCTTTGAAAGTGCGTAAATAAAATCTTTGGGAATATACTTTCCAAGAAAATAACTGTACTTTTTTCAAGCAAAAATGTGAGCTGGCAAGTTTGGCTATTGTCTATGGAAACAATACTATGGGCATCTGATTGAGAAATATGCTCGTGGAATTTTCTTTTTAGTTTTCCCTCCAAACAGTTGAGGCACTCATCGAGAACAGCTGCTGGTTGATGTCACCTTCCACCAACTTCATGTGAAGCATCCAAAGCTTTCGGCTACAGACCAGGCATTTTCTTGAGATCCTGCTCTACCACCTGCAAAAAAAAAAAAGGGGGGAGGAGTCAAATTTACCGAGGAAACAAATTAACAACAGAGAGACCCCTACAAAAGAATTTAAAGCAGAGCGTAACTTCCCCATTACAAGGATTGTAAGGAGGCAGTGCACTGAATAGCCGCTCATCTGTTATTACCCAGAGCAATGACAATTCTCATAATATAAAGGAAAGGAGGGGAAAGAACTGTATATGGGCAGACACAGGAAAGGAGACCAGGTATATCTTAAACCTGATCAATCTTCAAAAAGCCATAAATAACACAGATGGACAACCAGAGACAAAGTCCAGCTTCCACCTGGAGGATTTATTTGGGCAATGAAATTTAATTTAAAAAAAACCAATTTGAAAGACTAATCACATTTTAGGCTCTCCTAATACACAAAGAGCAGTGACCTCTCCTAGTGTTCATGGGAATTTAATCCAGCATCTCTGCAATCTTGTGTGCTCTCACTCCAATAGAGCTATTATGGGGGGGGGGGAACCTCAATCACAAATCAAAATGAGGAAGAACAACACAGGCACACACTCACGCAGTAAAGCCAGCGCTTTCACTGCTACACACACACACACACAGAGCAGATCCTAGAGAGGGTTCATTTTTTGGAACCACCTCTCGAGCACAGAATAAGTCTCTTTTATTCCACAACTTTCATGCCATTAAATGATCGCTTGAATAGGGTGTACTGTATTTCTTTCATGATCTCTCGATTTCTGTGCAACATTCTAGGTTACATCTTTAGGCACACACAGAAGAGAGAGGATTGTACGTCCATAATGCCAGTGTCTCTTTTCTCCCCCTTTAAGGGAAAAAAAGAGACTGAAAGCTAACCTGCTTAAGGTACTTCATTCCAAAAAAAACCAAGACCCTCTCTTTCCTGCTTCATCATAGAGCTGTTTACAGAGCTGCCTTGGCCCAGAATAAACTTCCAAAGCCAGAAAAGTCTGGTTGCTATTTTTGAAGTCATGAGTGAATAAACGGGGGTTGAAGGGGGGAAAAGAATGAAACGGAATGACACAAAAATTTCTCCTCCATAAGCTCTGCTGACATCAGGTTTGCCTTTTCAATGCACAAATATCACTTCCTTATCACAGTAAATTCGTCACCGGCTTTTATGATGTTCCTAACAATAAGAAACATAAAGACTTTGTCATACAAACCCACAGGGTTTTTGTTAGGGAGGGGTGCTTTTCGCTAATGGGAAAAACATTATGTCAGTCTGACAAGGCTATTTTCATAACCACAGAGAAATCACATTTTGCACTGGAGCAGTACGATGAAGAAAGTTGAGCTCTGAAGAACCAATAATTATCAGCTGCAATGTAGGTACATGCTGGCAATAAAAACTATTTTCAGATGTCTTTAAAGAGAGCCAAATACCCAAGTTGCCCCTCTGTTCAATTTGCTGCTCCAGCATTTGAACATCACAGGTGTTTTACAAGAAGCAGATGCCCAGTGTTGCCCTCAAAGAATGTGGTCTAAATCACAATCCAATGCTTCTTCCCCCCCCCCAAAAAAAGACTTAGAATTAGACTTGGCTGCAGTTGGCTTCCTTTCTGTACTGCAAAAATAAATCTTCACCTGATATTATTAAGGAACTGCACTTCTCGGAACCAGCGGAATCAATGGCTTTATTTTCTTTTAAGAGTCGACAGCAGTCACAAGGGACTGATAGCCAGCCCCACAAAATTAGATTTCATCCGGGTATCTGGACTTTGTTCTTTTCAACTTTATTGGATTAACATGGTTTTGAAATAAAGAGGCAACACACGGTTACAACACCCTGCTGGGGAATTAAATGCAGAAAGTAAACTTAATGGTTCACTTTGCAATTAAATGCAGTCTTTCCCAGAAAGGGGACTTGTTTTGTTTTAAAGCCTGAGCATAAAAACAGAAGGCAAAAGAAATACCTTTGGAAGCGCTTGTCACCCCTCCCCCCCTTGAACGGACGATATCATTTTGATTCATTAAACAAATTTAGGAAATAGACCCCAGATATGTATTACCTAGGAGACATGCAGACGCCACACTGAAAAATTCTGGAACAGTTCAGTCCCGCTCCTCTCTCTCTCAGAGGTACCTGCCATCTTCAGTATATATTTCTGGTCTCAGGCAGTTCAGCTCTTCCCTCCTCAACTCTGTTTCTAAGGGATCTGTTACACAGAGACATTTAAAGGGCTATGGATGGAAAACAGGAAACGGTGGCTGGGTAATCCGATGGTCTCTTGCTTCTCACCAACTTATTTGGGGGGGTCTTAAAAATCAATTAGATGATGACATCACTTCTCTGGCAAAAGAGTGCAAGGTCTACAAGCAGTGTGCATGGCCAGGATTTTGCAACTCACCTTAAAACTGGGAACTGGGGGGGGGGGGGAGCTGTGCTAAGAGGCAGATTAGGTCGTTTGCGAATTAAAAGCCCAACGGCAAGATACTTGGCTGATCAAGTCCTTGCATTACTGCCAGGAGGCAAAACTGCAGGCATGGCAAACCGCAGGAGAGTGGCTAATTTCAGAAAGTTTGTGCAAACGTTCAATAACAGGATGAGGGCTTTAAAAAAAACAACTGTCTATGTCAGTTTAGGCTTGGGACCTTGAGTCTCTCCTTGTCCTTGTGATTTTACAATACGCTCCCAAATGTGGGAGCTCCATGCCCTGTTCTCTTACAATTGGCATGAGGAAAATGAATAATCTAGCGTTCTGTTCCGATGCATCATGTAAAAGTGATTAAATGAATACCTTTTACTCTGTGCCTTCCGCTCTCTCTCGCTCACACACGCAGAGGAAAACCATGCAATACATGCTCTCAGAGGAGCCAAACCTAAGTGTTTCTTCTTCATCTCCTGCAAGGATTATTCACCTTTCCTAACAACGACATCCCAGTTGCATTAAAACTGCACTGAACACTGTGAGCACTCGGTGCGTTCCAGTCAAGAAGCGGGAAAGGGGCAGGCAGAAGTTTCCGAGGCAGGGTTGGATGCGGCTCTAAGAGGCAGGAATTGCTCTGCTAGCCGGGAGGCTTTTCCCGAGGCAGGAGAACACGAGTCCAGACTCCAGGAGCACCTAAAGACTAACCAAATTTATGGCAGGGTCGGCGCTTGTCGTGAGTCACCGCCGCATCTGAAGGAGTGAGCCGTGACTCACGAAAGCTCCTGCCCTGCCAACCAATTCCGTTAGTCTTCCAAGTGCTCCTGGACTCTTGCTCTTTTCTGCTGCTGCTGCAGACAGACGGACAAAAGTGACCCTCCACGAGGATTTCGTTGCAAAAAGGCAAAGAGGCGTTGGGTTTCGCTTGCACCCCTCTCCGCAGCTGCAGCAAAGGACGGGCTCACAACCGAGCCCGCACTCGGTGCAACATTTTGAGTTAGTGTTACAAAGGCGTCTTTGCAATCCAGCAAGCGCGCACGTACGCACGCACCCCCCCTGCGCCGCATCTCGACCCGGGAGAGAGCGAGCGAGAGCGGGAGAGCGCGCCCCGTTAGGTAACTTTTCCTCCGCTGAGCCGGCTGCGGGTGGAGGCTGGCCTCCTCGCCCGTCGCGTGCACGGCTGCCGCCTCGCCTTCTTCCCCGGCTCCTCTCCCGCCCCCGTCGCTCGGCCGCTCTTACCCGGATCGGCTGCTGGCTCCTGGAAATCCGGCGCAGTGTCGGCTCGGGGAGAAGGGCAGCGCGGGGGGCGCCCGAGGAGGAGGAGGCTCCCCCCCCCCGGCGTCTTCGCCCGTCCTCGGGGGCCCGGAGAGGCTTGTGCGAAAGTTGCGCCACCAGCCCAGAGGGGCCCTCGGCGGGCTTCCCCGGGGCGGGGACGGCGGCGGCTCTTGCGAAGAGATAAACAAGTTCAACTTTTCTCTGGCAGAAAGAAGACGCCCCACAAGACCCTCCTCCTGCCCCCCGGCATGCCTCCAGGTGATGCTTAACAACAAGCCCGATAACCGGGGCGGGGGCTCTCTCCGCGGCAACCTCTTCTCCCGCCGGGAGGTTGGGATCCCTCCAAGTGAGCTCAAGGGCAGGAGGGGGGGACCCGGCAGTAGCGAACTCCCTCTCCGGGCCAGTTCAGCCCGCGCCTCCGCTCCTTTCCCC